AAGGAAGGAAGGAAGGAAGGAAGGAAGGAAGGAAGGAAGGAAGGAAGGAAGGGCAGCTGGAGAGATGTCTCAGCAGTTCAGGGCACTGACTGCTCTTCAAAAGTCCTGAGTTCAAGGACTAGAGGTTCCTCCAGACACTAAGACCATGGGGCTGCAGGAATGGCTCAGTGGTTAAGAACACTAATTGTTCTTACAGAGGACCTGGGTTTGATTCCCAATACCCACATGTAGGCTCACACCCAACTGTAACTCCAGCTCTAAGAAATCTGAAGCACTCTTCTGACCTCTGTGGGCACCAGGTCCACATGGCATACAGACATACATGCAGGCTAAACACATACACAAAACAAAGATAAATACATCTACAACAACAACTAAACCACAAGTACCATATAGTCAGTTTATACAACCCCTGGATGTCTACCTAATGGGATCTAAGTTAACATAGCACAGAGATGTTTGAACATCCGTGTTTGTTGCTATAAATTCACAATAGCCAATACTCGGAACCAACCAGGATGCCCATCAATAGATTAATGAGTAAAGAAAATGCAGCACGAATACACAATGGAGTTTTATTGAGCAAAAAAGAAGAGTGAGATCGTGTCATGTGCATGGAAACAGATGCAACCAGAGACCATGACGTTAAGTGAAATAGCCTGGATTCAGAAAAATAGATATTGTAGGATAATGTGTTTGTGCACTGTGTAAAGTTTACCCTTGTGCTATTCAACTGCTGATTTCTCTGCCCTTCTACCTTGTCCCAGTCTGGACACAGCACCGTAATGCTTATACCAAGACTCTCCTGTCTGACGTTTGTGTAAACACTTCTTACCATTTTTTCTCTATCCTGTCAATAAAGGCTGATCACCCAATGGCTGGGCAGAATAGAGAATAGGGTGGAACATCTCCCAACCAGAGGAAGGAGAGAGGGAGAGAGGGAGAGAGGGAGAGAGGGAGAGAGGAAGAGAGGAAGATTCAAGTCAGCTGGCAGGATGGAGGAATGGGAGCCGTGAAGACGGGATCCAAAGAGCCAGATCAATACTAACATGCAAGCATCATGGGATGGGGCTGGGAGGCAGCCAGATTAGAAAGTAATGGTAGATCATTTAACTGCTCAGTTATTGAGGTGCAGTTTTAAATAAATATTGGTTTATCTGTCTAATTATTGGAGACAAGCATAAAGTAAAGAAATATAGTCGCCAGATTAATTTATTGTTTACATTTATGACAATTAATATAACAATTAATAACAATTCATTTACTATCTCATATTTTCCCTCATATTTATAATTGAAATAAATACGTATATGCTATGAAAGTAGAAGGGTGGACTGTGGGGAGAAAAAGAAAAGACAGGGGGACAAAATAATTGGAGTGAATATGCATAAGATGTGTATGCAAATTCCATGGTGAAAAATATTGCTTTGTATGCTAAGCAAAAATATTTAAAATGGGAAAGAAAACATAGAGAAAAAAGGTCAGATGTCAAAATGTCTAAGAACAGTTTAAAACCATATATAAATCATAGATTTATATATATATACATATATATGTATATATACATATGTGTACATATATACATATATATATGGAGAGAGACACAGAGAGAGAGGAAGAATAAAACTTCATTTCAAAAATATTAATTACTTACCCCTTGGCCTAATCTTCTCTCATAGCTTCGGTGCCGTAGTCCTAATCCCAATAACCCCACACCAACAAGCAGCCACAGAACTAAACAAAAAGAAGAAAGAAACATTAAAAAGAAACTAAAAATTTTAAATGACTCTTTCAAAATTATATCTATTGACGGAGAAGTCTGTGCAGGACAGAAGCCACACTTTAAAGACTATTCCCTGAGAACATTCCAAGAGCAATGGACATAGAGTCAAAATAAATCACAGAATACACAAGAAAAAAATATTTCTTGTGGGCACAAAACGGCAGGAACAGATGTCCTGATGAGCCAAGCACACAAAGACCTTGGATATCAGAAAGTTAAGAATTAGAATATAAGGCGAGTATGCCTAGCGTGTTTAAAAAGAAGAGGGTATGCCAAAGAATGGCTGGATACTGTAAGGCTAAAGACAAAATAATCATGGAAGTTCGTAAAACAAATAAAGCAGACTTTTAGAGATAAAAATATAGGGGTAGAGGGATGGCTCAGTCAAGAGCACTGGACCCAAGTTTGACCACAGCTTGTGGCAGCTCACAACTGTCTGTCACTCTGGTTCCAGAGGATCTGACAGCCTTTTCTGGCCTCCATGGGCACCAGGCATGCATGTGGTACACAGACATACATGCTGATGAACACACACATAATAAAATAAAATTTAAAATAAATATAAATAATTTAACGAGTGAGAAAAGGTCAATGGTCAAGATTTAGACCACATTAGATTAGACAAAGCTCACAGGAGAATTAAGACCAAAGACAGCACAGAGGTCAGGGCTCAGCGGGTAAAGGTTAAGCTGCCAAGACTGAAGGCCTGAGTTCCACCCCAAGACCCACATGGTGGAAGAGAACAGAGCTGTCCTCTGACCTCCAGACACATGCCCTGCCCCCTCACTGAATAAGTAAATAAATATGTATTTTTCACTTAAAAAATAAACAGAGGCAGGAAAAATGAAAGCACATAAAAACACAAAGAACAGAAGAAGGTCCAATCCAACAGTTGGCATTAAAAAGGACCAAGGAAAGAGAACAAGGAAAATAATGCTAGGATTTCCCATTTGGAAAAAACTCGGGACTCTTCGGAGTGGAAGCGTCTGCAGACTCCTGAGCAGGGTGAGGACAAACTCCACCTCCAGGTGTATCACGGTGAAGCAGTGATTGCCAAACGCACCGAGAAAAGTCGTATTTTAAATATGATCTACCTGTGTTATAATGAGACGTATATGACAGGTTTTACGTAATGGTGGGAGTCCTTGTGACATAGCATTTAGAAATATTTCTGAAGACCTATAGGCATGGTAGCTATATAGATAGCTTCAATTGTTGATGGTCTCTTTTTACAATATTTTATGCCCTTCAGTAAAGTTTCAAACTTCTAACGGTAGAAACCAGTATTCACATGTTCTTGTCCTACATATATGTAGGACATATATATGTCCTATATAACAGTTACCTAATTAGCACACCACACATGTTCACTAAACATTTGTGTCTCATCCAGTTTATTAAAGATGATTCAGATATTAGGTGATGAATTAATGTCATGCGTGAGTCTATAGCTTATCAACATACTAATTAAACATGTTTAATCTTCCAGAGAATAAGAGATGGAATGCATGGTATCAAGTACCCAAAGAAAGCATCTTGGAAATTCTACCTGCTAAATTTTCTATGCTAGAAGTGAAATAAAACCATACAGGCTATTTAGGGTTGAAATGCCACAGTATTGAGGATTTGCTTAAATATGGTTCAGCAAACCAGAAATAGGCAGGAAGACAACAAAGACAACCGGCAGGAAGATACAGCTTGGTGGTACTCTTGAATTCCATGTTGGAAAATACATACAACATGAACCAGGCACAGTGGCATACATCTTTAGTCCGAGCACTAGGTAGTCAGAGGTAGAAGGAGGACTATGAGTTCAGGGCCAGCCTGGGCTATATAGCAAGTTTCAGCACAGACAAGGCTGCACAAAAAGACCCTGTCTAGCAAAAAAAAGGCGGGGGGACTGGGAGAAAGGAAGAAAAGAAGGAAGGAAGAAAAAAAGAAGGGAGGGAGAGAAAAATATATATACACCAAACTTTCTTAAAAGCAAGTAAAACTATACTTACTAAGTTTCATGTATTTTTCACTGTTTCTCAAAAGCATTTTAGGACTGTTTTTCGTCTGAAGAAGAAAGTCAAGGTTTTTCTTAGGTCCAAACAGCATACTCAATCCAATAATTACCATTATGGTTCCTGGAGAGAGAGAGAGAGAGAGAGAGAGAGAGAGAGAGAGAGAGAGAGAGAGAAAGGAGGATGAGACATAGCTCAGTGGCAAGATATTTTCTTAGCATGCATGAGGCCCTAGGTTCAGTATTCAATATCATAAAAATTAATTCTTTAAAAAAATGGGGAGATTGGGGCTGAAAAGACCCAGTAGCTAAGAACACTTAGTGCTTTAGCAGAGGATAACCTGGAGAAATGTAGCTGGTACTCAGCTGCAAGACACGCCCACTGGTCTATAGTGGCAGGGATGTTACTGGAATAACCAACCACTTCTTTTTTTTTTTTCTTTTTCTTTTTTTTTAGTTTAGACCCACTCACAAACATGAAAGTTATATCTGACACTGAGACCAAGAACGTGAAGCTAGACAGGTCATGCATCCTAGAGGAAAACCTACTTCTATTATTCTACCAAATGTGCATAGCAATAAAACGATCTCTAGTGACATACTGCTCTATCCATATATAGATCAGTACCTCGCTCAGCCCTCGTCATGATGCTTCTTTTTGCAGAAGATATTAATTAACACAGAGACCCACAACCGGGCAATGTATGGAGAATGAGAGACTTCACAGTGCTCAGCTCTAAGAGGGCTGTCCTTTTCCACACTCCTCTCCCCTCAAGGCTCGGGAGCTATGCAAATGAGAGGATGGGAATATTGTAACAGGAAAGGAGGTGGGCACTAAGTCCCACTACTAACCAAGAAACCATTTGCCAAGGATGTCTTCTGGGAGAGGGCAAATTAGTTTTTCTCGATGGAATGGCATTGGGTATTATCAACCACACCCCAAGGCAGGCCCCATCCTTAGGAGTGGTTAGTCAACATAAATAAGACTCCATGCCTTTTTGAGCACTTTTTGAAATCTTTTTTATTATTATGTTTGTTTTTATAGGAGAGAGAAACTGTGGGGTTAGGTAGGTAGAACGATGGGGGAAGCTCTCAGAGGAGCTGAGGAAGGGGAAAGAATATAAAAATATATTGTATGAAATTCTCAAAGAACAAGTAAAGATGTTTTGTAGAAATCTACTCAACATTAACAACTTTCCTTGGCCTGTTACAACACCACTCCAACTATAGGAGGTTCTCGTTTGCTTGAAGCTGCAATAAAGCATAGTTTCCCAGTCCTAGGAGTAGGCAGAATGAGTCAGCAAAGCTCATCTTCCAAAGAAACAAAGGTAGGCACAGCACAGCTCTTACTTACTCCCATCCTCTACCTGGCAGCACCCTGAGCAAGCTGGAGTAAGAGAAAAGCAGGACACCGGAGAGAGCAGAGCCCGACAGAGTAGACCCACCTGAAAGAAACCACAAGAGTTACAAAGTTTGCAAAGCCCGGCACCTGCAATGCGGGAAATTGGGCATAAAGTTTCACCCCTTATCAAGAAGCTGATTCTAACTGGGATCTACTGGGAGAGAAAGAAATCAATTGTCCTCAACAGAGTGACACTGGGTGTAAGCCAAACTCAGGGTAGGTCACAGACACACACAGAGTAGCTGGCCAACACAAATCAGACCCCATGCTTTTTTATTGTTTGTTTGTCTTTTGTTTTTTGACAGGGTTTCTCTGTGTAGTTCTGGCTGTCCTGGAACTCACTCTGTAGACCAGGCTGGCCTCGAACTCAGAAATCCGCCTGCCTCTGCCTCCCAAGTGCTGGGATTAAAGGCTCTACCACTGGCTGTTTGTTTTAACAAAGAGAAATAATGTGAAGTTAGGTGGGTAGGGAGGTGGAGAAGGATGTAGAAGGAATTGGGGTCATGGCTGTAAGTTCCTAGCTCCAGCCGAGAATGGAAATAGGGAATTCTCAAACGCTTTTTCTCAAAGATCCTGTGTCACTTAGGGGTGAGTCTTCCAGAGCAGCTGTCCTGGCAGAGGTCTAGGTTGGTTAGTGTGAGATGCAGGGACTGGGAGAATTGTAACGGAGTGTGTGTGGAAGCCACGCCTCGCCTCACCTCTCCCATCAGGTACCCATGCAGTGACTGGGAGAACTGTGGTGGAGGGTGCGCAGAAGCCATGCCTCTTCCATCAGGCACCCACGCCCTGGAAACATCCTAAGGATTTGTTTACTGTTTTACCTATGAATGGTCCCTCCCCCCATTCCAGCGAAGTTCCAGGTAGAGAGGAACACTGTGCTTTTCATCTCCAGTACCTGGCACTGCGCCAGGAGCACAATGCGTGCACAATGATACTGTGAGAATAAATGGACGAGTATAAAACTGGAAGCATGGACCAACCAGAACTGGATCCATATCAGCCGATGCCTCTCACTCTCTAAGTTTCTACTGCGGAAGGACTTGGGGCGCTTTACTTCCATCTTAAAGAGGCAGGCAGTTCTAATGGCTCACACCTATAATCCCAGCACTTTGGAGGCCAAAGCAGAAAAATCTGCATAAATTCAACAGCAGCTTGATCAACAGAGTGAACTCCAGGCCAGCCTAGGCTACAAAGTAAGACTCTGTCACAAAAAGAAGAATGAGAGGGAAATATTGACAATGTTGGTTTTCTAAATTCCTGCTATAAATCAGTAATTTCCTTTTTTTTTTTTTCAGAAAAATAGCTTTTAACATATTATACTATAACATTTATTATGTAATAATCAAATAATATAATAAACTATGTTTGCTATATAATAAATATATAATTACATATAAATTAAATAAATAAAATATATTATAATATGTAAATAAAATAAATATATATATTTATATGAAATAAATTAAAATAAAATAATAAATAAGAATAATACTTAATTAAAGTAATCATTTAATATATTAATTATAGTAATTAATTATAATTAAAGAACATATTAATTAATGTGAAATAAGCTTATGAACGTTGTATTTTGGTGAGTTTCTAACACTAATGCTTATACACAGGCTTTACCATGGCTTAGATATTTTTTTTCCTCAACTAGTTCATTTTATTTGATTGTTTATTTGAGGCGGTCTTACTATGTAGCCCAGGCTGGAAATCAGCATATAAACTGAGCCAAACTAGAACTCACAGAGATCCACCTGCCTCTGCCTCCAAAAGGATGGGATTAAATGCTTGCGCCACTCATTTTAAAGGCCAGCAGAGTAATAAGTATTGCTGAAGTGCACTTAATTGGAACAGCATTCCAGTTTTGACATCCTTTGGGGTTTTCTTTACCTAGAGTCTGTCTCACCAAGAACACAGACTGTCCTCGCCATTTTGCTTGTTTCCAGCAATCATAGAAGATGCCGAGTCCTAGCCAGTCTTAGTGAACTTGGATAAGTTTCTTTAACTGGATCTGTTAGCACGTACTCACCCAAAAGCACATCAGATCTTTCTCTAGCGTAGACACCTCCGGGAACAAACTTAAAAGCTGTACACCAGGCACAGAAGAATACTTGTAAAACATAAAGGGTCATGCCAGTGGCCATGGCTTCCCTGGAGTTGGTCCCTGAGTTCACAAGATATCCAAGTACTTGAGGCCACACAGACCCCGTGAAGGCTGCCAGTACACATCCAGAAACAGCAGCTGCCCACGTGCGCAGGTAAAGCAGACCCATGGCTGAAGCTGCTCCTGTTTGTAAGAAACAAAGCAAAAAAAAAAAATGGGAGAGGATGCATCAGGCAAGAGAACAGCAAAGCTCCTGGCATGCCCAGTTCATAGGAGCTGAGGAGGCCACTGGTTCAGTCTCAGCTTCCCAGCAAACCAAGGTGCAGCGGCTTAATGTTAATGTGATCTGCTCGAAGTCACAGGCTGGCACTGGCCCTCCTAAAAGTCAACCGGTCCAGCAAACCTCAGGTCAATGTTCGTTCTTTGGGAAGGGGTAAGAGTGGGCATCGCTGTAGCTAGCCTTATAATCTTCGTGGCGATAGAAATTGAAATGATTTGAAAAATTAGAAATATGTTTAAGTACAACCATCCAGATGCAAGAAAGCAGGAAACGTAGTGTCTGTGAGGTTTCTAGAACTTTTCTGCTAAGGCACTTTCTAAGTAACGGTTGACCATTTGTGTGCTGCCCAGCAGTATACACACTGGTACTTCAACCACGCAGACACAAGAGAGGATGCCACTAAGATTCCAGAGTCATTCTCTGCTGGCGCAAGTCTACACTCTGTCCTCTGCTTTCCCAGAGTCTGCCTGGTCAGGACTGTGCGTTCTCCCTGGTCCATGACAGGCAGTGTCTTAACCAATGTTGAGCCAACACTGAAGTCATGTAACATTGCTCCCAATTCCTATGAAATCAGCTTTAATCCATCCATATGTATGTATGTTTGTATGTATGTATGTATGTACATACATATGTATGTGTATAGGTTTTTTTGAGACAGGGTTTCTCTGTGTAGCCTTCACTATCCTGGAACTCATGCTATAGACCAGGCTGGCCTCAAACTCATAGAGATCCACCTGCCTCTGCCTCCCAAGTACTAGGATTAAAGGCCTGTGCCTCTACCACCTGCTCAGCAACAGAATATACATTTTCGTTAGTGTTCTTCAAGACATCCTTACTGTTTGAGGCAATGACAATGCATTTGCAGGTCAGTTTCACTTACCTGTCACCCACCAGGCTAACCTAGCATCACGAAGCCTTGATGAGCCCGATAGCATCAGTCCACTTGCAAAGCCCAGCAGAACCGCACCTCTGTAAATAAATGAAAATAAAAGGCAAAATGAACAAGCAAGCAAGCATAGATCAGAAACATATCTACTGTCTCTAGCTACATTGCATTCCATATCACAACGTGGATATGAAACTGTAGAGGAAATGGGAGCCATTGGGAACCAGTCCACAGAGCACACGAGGAGGGCTGATGACGTCACTCAGCAGAAGGGTACTTGCCTAGCATTCATTCTGGAGTCAATATCCAGTGCCAAACGAAGTAAAGCAAAATAGAACGTTGAAGTAGCCAAACATCTAACAGATGGCTCCGGTAGTCTTGCTCCTGTAGTCTTTGTTGGTCAATGTAGACACAGCAACTGAATTCTCAACTCTTAAGTTACTGCTCATCAACACCCCTGACATTTCAAATAACTCTGCCAAAGACCAAAGGAGAAGCCACTGGCAGAGTGTGTTGTGACGTTTTCCTCTCTCTCTGTGTCTCCATTCTATCTCAGTACTGCCTTTATCTAGTGTCTGAATCGCTAAAATAAGTGACAGTTTGATTTCTTTTTAGCTACCACAAGCTAGTCCATTGTTTTGTAATTTTTACAAATCCTTAACGGGAGGAGAGTTTAAAACGGACCGGAGAGATGGCTCAGCAGTTAAGAACAGTTGCTGTTCTTGCAGAGGACCTGGCTTTGGTTCCCAGCACCCACATGGTGGCTCACAACCATCTGTAACTGCAACTCCAGAGGACTGGACACTCTCTTCTGGATTACAGCCACCATCAGGTACATATACATTGCACACACACACACACACGTGTATGATGTATATGTATATGCATATGTTGTATACGTATTAATTGAAGTAAACTTCACTGGAAAGCCAGTAGCAATGGGAGTGACAACAAAGCATTGCTTAAGCTGAAATCTAATCTCAAACTCAGCTCTAAGGACACATGAGGCACTGTCTTAGGTCTGTCACCTGGGTTATTATCCATTTAATCCTCTTAAGTTTATCAAGAAAACAATACCTTTCTGCCATCTGCAGAGGAGAACACGGGGAAGAGTCTTGGCTTCTAATGACACTGATCAATCTCACAAACACCCAGTGCTAGCACCAGAGGGGCTGAGAAGAATGACCAACTGACGTCATGCCTTCCCCGCCACAGGCAAGGGATTCCTCAGCTTCCCAGGAGGGAATATGGGGACCTATCCAGCCCTCAGTTCCATTCAGTTTTCCCACAATACCAAACAGACACCCTTCTGGCTCCCCCGCTTAGATAACAGAGCTGGACTCACCCGTAAGGATTAGGGTCAGGCCCTGGGTGGGGATGACCGCTCACTGCCCATCTGGAAACAATGGAGACCTCTCCAAAGATCCAGTGAGTGAGGAACACGAGGCTCCCAAAGGCGGCACCTGGCAACAGCCAATTAAATCTTGAGATCCTGCCCTTGGTGACCTCACTGGGCTTCTTCCCCTCAGGGGTTCCGTAATCTCCATCTAGAATTTAAAAACAAAGAAAGAAGAAAAGAAAGAGAGAAAGGACTCTCAGTGATTGGAAATAGCCCGTGGCTTCAAGAAGCACCATAAGAAGCTGAATGCACCCAAGCTACTGGATGGAGGGCTCATTTCTGATTAGCTCTGGGGTAGTGGTGTAAGGGAAAGCAGGTAAACCTGGGAAGTAAAACTGCAGAAAGCTACTAACTTCATGTGAAGCTAACAGAGTGAGAAACTTCGGGGGCCGGAAGAAAAGAGTATCATCTCAAGAGAGCAAGCGTTTTGCAACTTGAGTGCAACATTCTTGTACAAAAACTTGCTTACTCGTGAAAAGACAGGATCTTGTGGAACACTCTGGGCACCCAGGATCCTAACTGTGTGTTAGTGAGCCTCGGCTGTGTGAGTTCCCTAGTCCTTCACACGACTCCAGTCACCTTTACTGGTTTCTGAGGTTTGCTGTCTCTAATCCCAGTTTACAGGTTAGAATCCATGCCCACAGAGATCAACCAACTGGTCCAAGATGACACAGCTAATAAAGAGACACTCACATTGATGCTAAGGCCGTGCGCCTTAACTGAGTGTCCTGCTGGCCCGGTCAAAGCCAGCATCACACACAACAAAGCCACGGATTCACACACTAAATTGAGGCCAAGGGAGGCGGTGTTAGCAGGAGAATGTCTTTGTACCCACACAAGAACCTACTGCAGAGATGCTTCGTAATTCCACGAAGGCTTCTATGTACAGAAAGCAGCAGCCCTGGGGCCTGACTGTGGGACCGGTGGCCTGGTTTTTACTGGGAAAAGGAAAGTTATTACGACAAGAACAGGATCAGTGGAAGGAGACAGATGAAAGCTATGGGGAGGGGTGGGTGGTGAGGACAGAAAGGGTTCAAGGATCTGAGGATCAAGCTGAGAGTGCAGAGAAAAGGGGCCATCTGTGCTGTCATTAAATAAAGTACAGTCAGCTGTGGCAAGGGTCTCCAGCCCCTAGAACCCAACACATCTTCAAACAGGAAGGCAAAGACCACCGCTGTGTTCACACACCCAAAGGGTCTGAGGTTTGGAAATAAGGGCACAGGGTAAAAGGATGCTGAGAATGGAGACGCCCATCCTGTGCTAAGAAGTGGGAAGAGGATGAGGTTGAAGTACAGGATTTGCTTCAGTCCCCCATGGACACGTGAACATGCCCAACCACAGACCCCCCCTCACTTTCTGCCAGCCACTACGCACTGGAAAGGAGCCTGGGCCTTCTGCCTCCGTAACAGCCCATTGTCTGTGTCTGTTACTACTCAACAGGAGGGAAAGTTCAAGTGGAGCTCTATCACAGGAAAGCTATTTTTACAACTTGTCTTGAGACTAGGGTCTTGAGTTAGTCGATAGAGGGCTCTCCCTGCATGCTTGAGGTCCGAGTTCGATTCCCAGCACCACCACAGAGGAAAATTCTTTTCCAAATGTGCTATTGCACAGGAAAAAGACAGAAACCACCAGAGAGAAGATCCCCAAATAAACAGAGTACATCCTTACCCATGACAATTCGGTCGAACACAGCCATGGCACTCAATGTCAGAATCACTCTGTTGGACATCTGATAGCTCCAAATTGGATTTAATGATGTGTACCATATTCGGAGAACAAGAAGAAGAATGTGTCCCAGAATGAATCCCCAGATTTTGAGGTACCTGGAAGTGGAAGTCGTTTAAGAAAGACTGTAAGTGTGGATTTAATGTGCCCCATCCACTGTGGATTCCTTTCCCAGAGTGCGGATCTACAATGCTGTTGCAGTGATCTTCAGTGATATATCCCTGACTTAGCCTTTCTAGAGTCCACTACAAGCCTATGTATAGGTGTAGGCAACTTATAATAATTTTCCCAACAAAATATTTTTATCAATTATTTGGGAATCTCATACAACGCACCCTGACCACACTTGCTTTCCATCCTGCCCAGTTCTACCCTCCCACCATTTTGCCCCTCCCCCACCACAAAAAAATTCTACCAAGTACAATTTGTGTTGCCATGGGACCAGCGAGATACTTTAGCAGGTTAAAGCATTTGCTGCCAAACCTAACTACCTGAGTTTGATTCTCTGGGATCCACATGGTAAAAGAAGAGAATTCATGGGGCTGGAGAGATGGCTCAGTGGTTAAGAGCACTGACTGTTCTCCCAGAGGTTCATGAGTTCAATTCCCAGCATCCACATGATGGCTCACAACCATCTGTAATGGAATCCAATGCTCACTTCTGGTGTGTCTGAAGAGAGCAATAGTGTACTCACACATATAAAATAAATAAATCTTAAAGAAAAGTTTTAAAGAAGAGAATTTATTACTGAATGCTGTCCTTGAGCTACACACACACACACACACACACACACACACACGTGTACACTGCATATACACACACAAAAAATATATTTTTTAAATATATAAATATAATTTTTAAAATGTTTGTACTTTATAGGGCCAGAAATATAGCCAAACAGCAGGGAGAAACTGAATACACATAACACCTGGGTTCGGTCCCTAGTACCAAGAGCAAAATGAGATTGGTGGCAAGTACTTGAACCTCTGCTTTTGAAAAGGAAGGGGGACTTTTACAAAGTCCCATGAATGGGAAAACTGCCCTGACACCAATGGTCAGAACTTCCCCCAGGGAAACTGGTTACACCTGTTTGTCTGTAGGTACAGAAGACTTGAGTCATACCTTTGCAATCCACTTCCTGACCACCAGGTCACAGTTTGCACTATCAGGGAAGAAGACACACCAAGGGCAAGGACCATCAGTCGAAGCTTGGCATTCGGAGCCTCAAAGGAGGCTATGCTGCCTACAAACAGGGAAAGGAGGGTGAGCTGGCAAGTGTGCCCTGGCACCTGACAGTCTACATTTGATAAGCACTGTGTCTGGTATGGTCTTTACCCTGAAAAAAACAGAATTAGCATATACCTATACATATCTTTAATCTGTGTTCATTTAGGTAGGATTCTCACATAAGATTTGCAACATTAAAATATACAACTTAATTGGTTTTGGGGTACATTCAAAATTGTCAACTATATCACCACTAATTTTAGAACATTCTTTCTCCCCCTCCCAAAATTCCCCTTCTCCTTTCTCCTACACCCCCACACTCTATCAACCACTGACCTTTCTGTCTCCATGAATCTTTCCTATCTGGGGAATTTTACATAAGTTGAATCCTACATATGTAGCCCTTTGTGGTTGGCTTCTTGCCATCAGCGTAATGTTTCCAAGGCATATCCAAATTGTAGCCTAGATTAGTCCTTCACTCTTTAATGACTAAATAATATTCCATTGTATAGATAAACTGTATTTTGTTTACCTACTTGTCAGTTGATAGGCACTGGCTTGTTTCTGTGTCTAGACTTTCATGAATAACGCTGCTATGAACACTTGCACTCAGTTTCTGTACAAACGTATACCTGCATTTTTTTCTAGACTATATGACAAGGTTTAGAGCTCTGTTCAATATCCAAGGCTCTGCCAAACAGTTTCCCAGAGCAGCTACGCCACTTGACACTTCTTGTATTTCCATTAACAACACGTGAAAATTCAGTTGCTCCACATTTTGCCAGCACTTGGTATTGCCCGTCTTTTATTTTTAGCCATCCAAACGAGTCAAAATATTTATAGTCAAAAATAATCCAGGTCAATGAGTGTAAATTAGTTTCATAATTAATTTCATGGTGATTAATTTAAATACCTCAGATGTCAGAGGTGAGCATGTATATAACAGTCAGGGGGTGAATACAGGGGAGCTTCAAAGCAAATCACGACCCAGTGCGTGACTCTCTGTAGAGAGTCAACTGTGTCCAGTAGTCACCAGGGTCAGCATTTGGCTAGATGACCACTTCATCCTCCATCCTCAACTCCGAGTGACTTCCCTACCTACCCATTTCATTTCTTTTCTTTTTTTTTTAAGATTTATTTATCCTCATGTGCATTGGTGTTCTGCCTGTGTGTCTGTGCAAGGGTGCCAGATCCCCTGGAATTGGAGTTACAGACAGTTGTGAACTACCATGTGGGTAACTGGGAATTGAACTTGGGTCCTCTAGAAGAGCAGCCAGTGCTCTTCACTGTTGAGCCATGTCTCCAGCCTCCCCCCACCACCACCTATTTCTATAGTTCTTCCACTCAGGGAGCTGGGTTTTCATGAAGCAACACAGGGAATGTCATTTCTAGCTGCCGTGATGGGCAATACCGGTTGTCAATGTCAGGATGTACCATCACCTAAGCGACAAACTCCCGAGCATGCCTTCAAGGGAGTTTGTAGGGTGGATTGATTGTGTTGGAAAGACTCATGTGACCAGATGTCTCACCTTCCTGTTGTGATGGGTTGTATCCCCGCACTGTGAACCAAAACAAACCTTCCATCCCTTAGTCTGCTTTCGCTAGGTGCTTTGACATCGCAGTAAGAAAGGCTATACAAAGACTATACCCAGATTTACTATGACACGCTTAGTGTCATGGAGAAAATCCTGCCATAGAAGCCAGCTTGGATTATGGTAAGAAACCAAGTCTTGCAAAGCCAAGGCCACATGACTCGTATGCAGAAGCCATTAGCCTGCTGCTGTTCCAACCAAGCCATTACTGCAGTCAGTGCCAGCAAGTGGCTTCACTTCTGTCACCTGCAGCTGGTCACTTCTGATGGACGCTATCTTTGCAAAGTGAAGTTTCCAGGACTTTCCTCCCATTATTCTTTCTGAACCCTGGTTCAAAAAGAAGAAGGAGGAGGAGGAGGAGGAGGAGGAGGAGGAGGAGGAGG